GATTCTTGTCCCCGTGGGTTGAAGAAGAAAGTTAGAGCTTTCTAACAAATACTTGAACTCCTTTCAAAGTTGAAGAGTCAAAAAATCGCCCCGTTGGACCGTTTTGGGAAATCGCGGACCGATTTTTTGCAGAGCGCTGGTTTTTTGGCTTTAAATTGTTATAACTTTCTTCATATTGAACTTTTTGCAGTTCTTGTCCCCTGGATTGAAGTAGAAGGTTAGAGCTTTCCAACGAATACTTTTTCTCTTTCCAAAGTTGAAGGAGTCAAAAAATCGCCCCGTTGGACCGTTTTTTTTTCATGAATTTTCGGCTACTCTCCTGAAAACACGGGTTTTCAACACTTAAACACTGACAACTCTCTTCAAACTCAATTTTATCGGGAATTATGATACCGTGACATCGCACGAGCTCTGTGCTTCATTACAGATGCTAAACCCATTTCAAGAAGTTGCCGACAGGCAAATATTTTTGTTCCCAAACTTTTCTTGTAGCCCTTTAGCAGTCAATCTACCAAAGAGGTCACTCTTTTATTAACTTAGGTCCAGTTTGAAGGCATTGGTTCACCTCTAGAATTATATTTGTGTACGTGCGCAGTCAAATATGGATACTTTCGCAGTAGACTCTTCTGCTCTGATGTGCGCCATGCACTCGTTTGTGCTTAATAGTTGAAGAAGCACTCAAAGTTTTACCTCTCACCTACTGTCGCGAGAACTAACGTCTTGATTCTAATCGTTCGATGGTCCCAGCAAGAGCCAACAGCTGCGAGCTTCATCACAACACACATTAGGTTCCTTATAGCGAAAACCACCTCTCGTCATCTACACCCAAAAACTTCTTCGTACTGCAACGTTGACTCCTGCGAATACGACCCCCCGTTGGAATTTGTCCAACGGACGGTTGACCCTGGCAGGAAGTGATAAGAACAATCAGAAGGCATGAAAGCGAATCAGAAAGAAACGCCAGTTATCGCGTTTGCAAAATTTACGGGTTGGCTAACAACCCCGCATCGTTTGTTAAGGGAAAAACCCTCACGTGGTCTGACCCCCTTCGAAGGGGGCCACTGGAATTCAGTGATGTTGATGCACGTGTCCTCCATCCATAGCTTCGCTGCTTTCTTGAAGGCAGTCTTGGTTCTCTCGTCTGTGAGTAGAAAACCTTTGTTTAATGTCTTTTGCGCTCTTGCGAGGAAGCTATAAATCAATCATATGAGTAGTAGAACGTAGAAGTACTAACCTAAATAACCGGCGAGTATGAATGTGACTCCATTTGTCCATTTTCTTGCAGGCCAAGTTCCTTTATCGTTGAAGGCTTGCCTTTTTGCACGAGTTTTCTCGACATCCAATGCAATTTTTTCTTTTTGTTCCCTGAATATAGCACGTGCAACCTCTCGCTTAAAAATTTCGAAAAAGCAAAACTAGCAAACTTTGTTAGGAGGATATCTCCCTGGAACAGGTTTTCCGCAACTCCGCTTTTTATATTAACTTCTTCGATCGAGTCTTCCTTTGGTTCAACTTCATCGGCAGCTTCTCTTTTGAACATCTAGAACACTTATTAGCTTACTATTTACCACTCCAGTCCCGCACATAACCGCGCATCACATAGTGGGATTCAGTGAGACTAAACATCTGCGAAATATTAGATCACGTGGCTGAGAAACATTAGGAAGATATTCGTGAAGATGTGTAAGATGAATTCAAAGGTCGTCCAGTTTCGCTGAAGATTGTCGCGTAATGCGCGCAGTAGCATGCGGAATGAAAATAGTACTTATCATGACTTCGTAAACATTTAGCATTGATATCGAGCTCGGATGATTTAGCGACCTATAGAATTTACACTACGAGTATCGGTGTGGGAGTGAAATACGAACAATTAATCAGCATTCAACTCAACTCGAATGAAGATTCGCTATTGATCCAAGTCCAGATAGTTTAGCGGCTCAAATTCCTTTTCTTCCTCTGATGAAAAGTTAGGAATGGCATATTTACATGCTAAGAACCTGGTTTAGTCTAACTGAGTGCACACTCAATTGTCGCTACTCTTATCAGTACGGTTTTTGCTCATTATCACTCCCTTTCATCATACGTCAGAACCGCGCCACCCTGATTATTTGCTAGTGATAATGGCAACGAAGTTGAAGACGTTTGCATTCAGACGCCCTTATCGTTCCTTATCATTTGTTATCGGACCTTTGTCCGCAACCCCCTTCATCCACTGTCGGTTGCCACGTGGCGCTGCTTGAAAAGCGCGGGCGCATTTGAGACAGCGGTCCCATTTCGGCCCAACGTCATCGGCACTGGAGCAACTAGAGTTGGGCTCGTGAAACTCGTCCAACACTTCTCGTCTCTATCCCAAGAGGAGTGCGGCTGAAATAGGGGAGGTCTCTGTGCGGAACATAATAACTAGTTTCTTTGCTTTCCCTTCTCTTTTCCAGACCTTCTCCCACCTCTATCTTCATAAGTCTGCGCCTTCTACGCCTATTTATCCTGAATTTTGCCTTTGAGATGCGTTATTTATGCACACATCAGTGCTTGTATAAGTCAGAGTAGAACAAGTAACACCTTAAGCTAATTAGCATTGCACTGACCTGTAGAGGACGCGTAAGAGACAAAGCGAAAGAAAAGGTGCAGAAACCATGTGATAGACATTTGAGATTAATAGGTCATTTGCGAATGT